TGCTGGTTGATCTAATTTATTTAGCAAATAGTTTTAACAGATTGGAGCCAATTATATAAAATCGCGAGATTGATCGCTTTTAATCAAATACAGTCTGACACAGTATGAGGTAGCCAAGGATAGGTCTGCCGTGCAAACATCCTGCAGCCTTAATCACCAAATGGCCAACCCCTCACATTTATCACAAGAAGCATTAAACTTATGTAACCTATTTTCTGTGCCAACAGTGAACGGTAAGAAATTAGGGAATAAGGTAATCTGTCTTGTCACAGGAATTGTTCATATGAAAAAAGGAAAAACATGAAATTTCCACATGCATTTGCCAGACTGAAAATGTGGTAGCAATAGCATCTATTAAACAAAAAAAAAAAAAATTGTGATTTTCCTCCTTCTTCCCAAAGGGAATCCCTGTTAGCAGTTTCTAAGTATCCTTCCAGGAAAAAAAAAAAAAATTAGTCAATATGTAGGTTTTATTCTTTCAGTATTCTTTTATCCATCTGTGATTTTGGTGTAGCCTGTGAAATTATGTCATTCCTTTTATTTAAAAACAGTTGTTTGTTCCAACTCAGTCCTGTTCGCCAATAATAAATCGGCAATCAGTTTTGGCAATCAGTTTGATGTGGAAATGTTGGGGTTCAGGAGCAAACAGTCAAGTAAGAATTCTTGAGACATCTTTGTGGTGGTTTTCTTAAAGTAAATAAACATTTAAAACATTTTTAAAAATGGAAAAGATCATTTAGTACTGCTGTCTAATAAAATGTCAGTCATGAGACCCTTTAGATGTGTAGCACTGGGCCATATGCTTGAAGGATGATTAGTAACATATATCTTGGGGGGATAGAGATAAAGGAAGTTTCCAAAGGAATTTTCTTCTTGTGTTTATTTATTTTGAGAGAGAGAGAGAGAGAGAGAGCTTGAGCAGGGGAGCAGCAGAGAGAGGAGACAGAAAACCCAAGCAGGCTCTGCACTGCCCACACGGAGCCCGATGTGGGGCTGGAACCCACAAACCGCGAGATCATGACGTGAGCCAAAACCAAGAGTCAGACACTCAACCAACTGAGCCACCCAGGGGCCTCCCAAAGGAATTTTTATATGTTAAAGTAGACTTACAGGATCCTGGAAGTCAGGATACTGTTAAGCTAAGATCGCCTTTTGCCCTTAGCGAAGTATCAACATCAAGGCAGCTGAGTCCCTAGAGGAAGGTCACTCTGCCCCTCTCAAGGACTTGTCAATGGGCTGCAAGTTGTAAGGAAAGTTCATTTTTTCTTTTGCCTTTGTCCCCCACATTAAGTTGGTTGCAAATGGCTAGTCGCCATAATTCTTCTGTTAGGCTGAGATGTCCTCTCCAGTCCTTGATTGAAACCTGTGTCTACCTATAGATTTTAGCTAGAATTTTTACATACCTCTAAGCCCTAGTCATTGTAGCAAAGCTTCTAGTTGGGTACATTAGGCTCTTTTGGTTTGTAAAAACAGACAAATGTACACAAGGTTGTGTCTCTTTCCCTCTGGCTTCTATTTATCCAGTGTGCCCTCTGCCTTCTCTCTGGATTGGATAATGGTTGGCAAGAGTGACTTGAATTAAATTAAGTAAAACACTGAAAGGAACAGAGAACATAAAGGTGATAATGCCTAAATTATCTTATATAACCTGAATTAACCACGAGGAAATAACCAGACAAGCCCAAAGTAAAGGATGTGTTACAAAACAGTTCATTTGCATTCTTCAAAAATGCCAGTGTCATGAAAGAATGAAAGGCTAAGGAGTGGTCCTGGATTAACGGTGACTCAAGAGATGTGACTACCAAATGCAGTGGGATCCTGGGTTGGGGGAGGGGAAAGATGTCATGGCTGCCAACCTTGCAGTAATTGGCGAGATTGGAATAGAGGAGTTGCATGTTAGATAATTGTATCAACATTAACTTCCTGCATTGGATGGTTGCCACAGTGGTTAATCCAGATCTCCTTTCTTGATAATATTAGCAACCAACTCATTCTTAGTTATGGTAGATTCAGGAGTTTTAGCCCCCTTGAATCTTCTGTGGAGGAAGATGGAAAAAACAGCCTTGTTTTCAGGATCTTGTAAAAATACTAACCAGCACGCTGAACTGTGGTGCCCCCTTGCGGTGAGAGTTCCCTTCATTCTTGGGACTGGCTTCACAAAACTAGAGACTTACCGTCACCTCACGAATATTTTTCGAAACCTATTATGTATCCAGCATCTGCTAAGTGTCAAGGATTCATAAGCTCCTTCTGGAGCTTCCAAATACACAAACAAATATGGAATCACAAACCGAAAGAGGGTTTTGAAGGAGACTTTATAAACAGGCTGATTATCTCTAAAACTTGGCATGAAAGAGAAGGGAGATACCCCTGTCTTTTGGTTCATACTGAGTTTGGGGCAGCCCTTCTCCATGGCTGTTGGGATTACCCGTTCTGGTCTGGGTCCCTGCTTGCCTTACCACTACTTAAGACTGGTAATAACACAGTTAGTGCTTTCCTGTCTGGGACTTAAAATAATAATTTTCTTGAAGTTACATCTGAGAAAAGGTGGGATTGCTGTCAACCAAGCCCACTTCTCTAAGGGACACTGTATGTAATTTGCAGCCACAGAGGAACCGACAGACCCCACCTGTATCAGTGACATGTGGAGAGCACCTTCCTCCCTGCCTGTCTTGTCTGTCACATTGCTCACAACAGCACCTCGCTTCCAGCCGCAGACAGCTGGATTATAGTGACTTGAGCGAAGGGCTTGTCTGTGATGCTTAACGATCGTCCTTCATGCTGGAGGCTCTGAGCCATGGCCCACGGTGAGGGACACAGGAGAAAGACTGTGATGATGTCATGATGTGGAGGCGGGGGGGAGGGGGGCGAGTTTACCCAACCCAGGTGATGAAACAGGATTGCACAGAATCACCCGCGTGGTCTGCTAGACTGTTTGAAAAAGGAAGACGGCCGTTTGCTCAAACTGACACAGTTCTAATATTTGGAGAACTCAGCTAAATCATAGATAATAGCAATGCTTGTGGAATAGAAAATGTGTTTCTGAGTATTGGGTGTAGACATTTTAAACATTTCATCGTGGGAAATTTATTTGAAGAAAACAAACAGAAGGAGGCAGAACGTGGTCATGAACCCCATGTAGGCGCCCCTCACCTTCCACTCCCCCCTGGATTCTTTTCACATATTAATTATGGATGTACTCGTAATTGCTGACAATCAGTTCTTTTCTGCATTGGAAAAATACAGCTCTGTGATTTTTTTTTGTTTGTTTTTTTTCTGGTCTATCTGCCCCCACCCCTCGCCACACTCAGGAAGCATAGCATAGAGACTCAGAGCACCTGGGGTAGAATTGGGCTCTGTCTCCTCTGAGCTGTGTGATCCTGGGCAAGTTGGTAAACGTCTCTGGGCCCCCTGTCTGTAAGCGGGGAGAATCAGCCATAAGCATGTGTCAGCCATCCCCATCGTCATCATATAGGACCTCTGTGTGCTCTAATAGGCTGTTTTCACACCCGCTTCTTATTTAAACCCACAGCAGTCCTGAGAGTGCCCTACGGTTCACTCATGAGGGAGTTGAGCCTGCAGGAGGTTAAATCAGGAGTTTGCAAACTTGTCTGCAGGAGTCACCTGGGGCGCTTCACAAGTTACTGATGCCTGCTGCCCTGGAGACTGATTTAATTGGCCTGGGATGTGGCCTGGGCTTCAGTGCAGTTAAAGGTCCCCAGGTGATGGTAATGTGCAGAGACCCGCGTGGGAACGAGCTTGTGGACCTAGAGGCGGGCGGAGCCCAAATCGGATACTGCTCAGTGAGCTTTCCGCCGTCTGTGTGTGACTTGAGAGCCAGGACTTGGCTGGGAAGTTTTATGATCCGATTTCCAGAGCCTTCCCAGAGCTGAGCCCCACGCCGCACCCTCGCCCATCAGAGCAGATTTCACACCAGGCTTTATGTGTAAAGTTTTGTTTGAGTCTTAGTCCTGAGTTCCTAAACAAAACATGAGAAAGCGTCCCTCCCATTCCAGGCACAGGCATGGCGGTAGCAAAAGCAAGTACTCTTCTGAATACATTTGCATCTTCCACTATTTAGTCCATGAACACAGTTGTTGGCGTCTGTATGGGTTCTCTCTCGCCATCCTGATGCTAAGTAAGATCGCAGAATCTCGGTGGCCTAGAGCACAGCTGACACCCGTGGGTCCCCTTGGGGTCGGCTGCTCTCAGCTGGGTGTTTCTCCGCTCCGTGTGTCCGTCATCTTCCTGCTCGGCCCAAGGGGCTAGCCGGGGAATGTTCTCACAGTGAAGGCAGCGGTACAAGGAAACCAGCCCCACTTCTGCACAAGCCGACTGCAAGACCTCCTGCGTCACGTCGGCTAGTGTCCTGTTGACCACGGCAAATCACATGACCGAGCCCGAAGTTAAGAGGTGCGGAAATATGTCCCACTTGCTTTCAGTCCAGGCGCTCCGTGTGGTCAAGCCTAACATTAGTGGAAAGGAATGCACTCTTCCCCGTGGAAAGGACAGGGTGGATGGTTTGAACACAAATCTGTTACAGATGTAAACGTAGACGTTGGCCCATAGGTGTTTGTGGTAGCAGAAAGTCGCTAGGTGTTAAACATTGAAAGATACTTAGATAAAATGGAATACACTTCCCCAGGAAAAGAGAAAGCTGCTATTTAAGATGATGTAGAAACTATGTCAGTGAAAGTTATTCATGCCATAAAATGGAGAGAGCAGATTATGAAACCACATATATATTATGTTGCCAATTCGGAGAAGAACTATGTCTATTCATATTTCAGGAACTTAAAGATGTGTGCCAAATTGTTAATGATCATCTGCGGTAGAATTATGGAATATTTTTATTTTCAAGTTCTATTCCTCTGAATTTGCTACATTTTCTGTGATACATATACATATCGTAGTAAGAAAAACATTTTAAACCGGGTTAGATGGGGAAGCTAAGATTCCGCATTCCTCTCAATTGCCTTTTTTGGGTAACCTTTCCATAGGCAGCAAGATAATGGAGAATGGCCTTCTCTTCAAAGAACTTCTGCAGACTCCGAATTTTCGAATTACTGTGGTTGATGATGCAGACACCGTCGAACTTTGTGGTGCTCTGAAGGTAAAGTCAGCCTTGTTATTTCTGCTCAAGGAGCTAATTGCGGCCGGCCACTGTTAGCGGTGTTGAATCTGAGCCTGAAGAGTGGGCTCTGTGTTCATGCCTGTGCTTCAGCGAAGAATAGTGAATTGAGAGCCTTGTGTTTCACTTCCGGCTTTGCCCCAGCCTTTCCTGGGTGGTGGGAAGTTCCTCTCTCACTGGGGTTTGCTTTTACTTGGACATCTGGGGAAAGTGTGGTGTTTTATTCTTTGGGAAACTGGCAGCATTACTATTTAAAAAGCGTGGAAAGTCTCTTGATTGTAGAATTTTACCAGAGACCAAAGCATTCCATTAATTCATGTATTTCTCTCCTATGCTGTCTTGAGCCAGAAAGGGACTTCTTGCCTCTGAATTATGCTACTCGGTTGCTTTGACAGTTTGGTTGGTTGTTCTTTTTAATGGAAAAATAGTCTGCTGCTGACAAAGGTTTTTCCAAGAATGGTTTAAAAAGATTTTTTTTTTTAATGTTTATTTATTTTTGAGAGAGAAAGAGACACAGAGCATGAGCGGGGGGGGGCAATATTCTGAACTAGACAATGGTGTCAGTGCTACCGTGGCCTCTTGGGAACCACGGTGCTCTGCTCTTTAAGAGGAATGCAAACAAGTGGATACCATCTTGACCAGGATGGAAGCCAGCCAGTGGGTGGGCATGCTATTCACTATGGCGATGACCAGCCTCTTCTAAAGGACACCAGTAAATGAATGGTGTGCCTACCAGATCATGGCCTGCGTAATAAGAGCTGCTTTTCGTGATGTTTCAGTGATGATCATGGATCTATAGTTCATCCATCTCTCCCCTTCGTGGCAAGGCCAAAGTGTTAGGCACTTCATCAGACAAATGAAATGACCTCCTCCCATCTCTACCTACCTGGGTCCAGCGTGCTTAAGCATTAAAGTTTTGGCACTTGCAGATTGTGTGGTGCGGTGCGGGTGAGGGTTTTGGGGACGAGGCCCATTTAAAGGCGCGGGGCTCCCAGGCAGCACGCCCTACTTCTGGATGTCCGGCGTGGGGCTTCCCCTCCCATGACTGAGACCCCTGTTACACAAGACCCTGGCTTTGGCTGCTTGGTTTTATTTTTTTGTTGGTTGAGATTTTATGTGTTTTTAATAGTCCTTCATTAAACTAATGACCAGTTGACAACAGGGCCTCATTGAGCAGCCTAATTTCTCCCAGCCCCAGCCTGTGTTGCTCCAAAATTGTTTTTAAGCGACTGTGGATGTTTCTGGTGGTGGATGGAGAAGCTGTGAGATCCTGCACCTGGGACAAAGGGGTGTTTGGGGGGGGGGGGAGGAGAAGAAAGATTCTAAGATTGAGGGGCTCTGGAAAAGCTTCTGCTAATGGGACCTCATGCTGAGGGTCTTGTGTCTGAGCTTAGACTGGCTTTTCATTTTTTTATTTGGCAGGAAGCCATAAGCGGATCTGTGCCTGCTACCAGGACCAGAAGAGGAGTGGTTCGTGAGAGCGAACACAGATGGGGTTGAGGACCATTCATCATGCTTCCCTCCTGGCTATCCTTTGAAACAGGATCAGTCACCATCATTCCCGTCGGCTTACATCAGAGCTGGGATTTTGAAAACCGAGAACAGGCACTGTGGCAGTAGTGAGGCTAACCATTTTGTGGATAAGGAGATAGCGATCCAGAGAGAGTAAATCAATGGCGAATATTGGCACAGTCGGATGTAGGCGGGTTCTGCAGGAGCAGTCTGGCGTTCTTTGGTTACGATGTACAGCCTGACTTTTTTCTGGTTTTGTGTCCAGTTGAATGAATGAATCCCTCCCCTTGTCAGGGCTGCCAAAGGACAGATGGACGCCATTTTCTTTTACGTAATTGATGATGTGGAAATGTTGGGGTTCAAGAGCAAACGGTCAGAGAGAATTCTTGAGACATCTTCGGTGCAAAAAAAGTGGTTTCACTAAAGCACAGGAACAGAACCCTGGGCGAGAAAGGCTGCACTGGGGCTGAAGTGACTGACTGCAATCTCTACTTTCAAGTGAGGGGAGGATTGGGGATGAGAAAAGTCTCTAAGAATTTTGGAAGCAAGGTTTCCAGGACCTTGAGGGGGGCCAGCTGTTGTTAGGAAAATGTTTACTCCTACTGAAACTTGAGTCGTGAGACCCTTTAGATGTGTATCAGGGGCCTATGCTTGGAGGATGATTACTAACATGGGTGGGAGGTGCAGGGTCAGGGAAGTTTCCAAGGCGATATGTTAAAGGACAGCCAGGATCCTGGAAGTGGGAACATTGTTAAGCTAGATTTGCCTTTGCTCTTAGCAAAGTATCAACTTGGTAGCTGAGGTCCCCTAAGAAGGAGGTCACTCTTCCTGTCTCAAAGCCTGTCAGTGGCCTGCAGGTTGTCAGGGAAATTTAATTTTTCCCTTGCCTTTTTTCCCCCACATCATTAATAGTGTTGTTTTCCTGATTATAAAAGTAGTGCCACGTTCCCACTGTTTCACACAACAGATGGGTCTTAAAGAAAGTAAAAATCACCAGGCCAGCCTCACAGCCTAGAAGTCATGTTGATGCTTTGTAACATCCAGTCTTTTTTAGTGAGCATCGTGAAGCGTGCTTTTAAAAACAAAAACTGGGTCTTACTGTTCAAATAGTATCACATGTTTCCTCTTTCATTAAATTAACAATCATGAAGCAGCTCATCTATACTAGCAATCAAAAGAAGTAACCACTGTCCCTTTTTTTGATAACCAGAAACATGACGTTGAGCTACAAAAAATAAAAAATTATTAACTCACTACAAAGGTAAACCAAAGAAAAACGGTTTTTTTCTGCAAAATCATATTAGAGCAGTGCATTTACCTTGGAATGTCCTTACCTCTGACCTGTGGCTCTCCAGTAAAGGCGATATTCTTTTAAATATCAATTTATTTAAAGCATAATTCATGTACATTAAACTGCATCCATTTAAGTTCCTAAGACAGTGGGTTTTAACAGGTGTGTGCATAACCCTGAAAATCCGCGATAGGGAACATTTCCATCATCCCAAAGTTCTCTGTGTCCCTTTTCAGTCCCCACCCAGCCAGTGTTCTGCTTTTGTTCACTACTGTTTACATTTTCTAGAACTTTTTTTATATTAGGTTGTACGTTATCCTCTTCTGTGTGTGGCATCAGGGCTTTATCAGGATTGAGTTTTCAGTAGCAGGGGAACCAAAAGCCATGTGGCTGAGCATGCCAAAGGGGTAATTTCTTTCTTATGCCAGACTCCCTCAATCCGAGAAAGCTCCTTTCCACACAATCCTCAGAGCCAGGCCTAACAGCTCACAGGGCCCTTGTCTTTGTGTTTTATTTTGTTTAATTTTTTTTAATTCATTTTGAAGAAGACAGAGACAGAGCACAAGCAGGGTGGGATGGGGAAGGAAGGGGAGACAGGGGAGTCTGAGCAGGCTCCAGGCCCCCCGAGCTGTCAGCACACAGCCCGATGTCATGGGGCTGGAACCCGCAGGCCCGCAGAGATCATGGCCACAGGCCGGGGAACCAGTGGCTCAAGCCCGCTGGGCCACCCAGGCCCCAGCTTGTCTTCATCTAAAATGGTAACCAGAGGGGGGTGCCTGGGTGGCTCTGTGGGTCCAGCATCACTCTTGGTTGTTGGAGTCATCATCCCTGGTGGTTTGTGGGATCAGCCCGTGTCGAGCTCTGTGCTCTCTCTGTGCTGACAGCGTGGAGCCTGCTTAAGGGTTCTCTCCCTCCCTCTCTCTGCCCTCCTCGGCTTCTCTGTCTCTCAATAAATAAACATTAAAAAAAAAGCTCTTTCTCTTGAGTGACCAGAGCTCTAGCCATCACATCTGCAGGAGATGGTTTCATGTGATTAGGCAGTACCTCATCGTGTGACTACACCTAGCTGCAAGGGGCGTCGGGTCCCCTGGTTATACGTATTTGCATCAAAGTCAGAGTGCTGTGACTCTGGAGGAGGAGGAGAGTAGGTGGGAGATAAACCCCTAGCCTGTGCCCACAGCCACCTGTACACCTACTGCTGGGCGTGGGTTTCTTCAGGGCTTTGTGTGATCATGCCATGCTGCCTGCACCACCTGGAGTACCTAGTGCGAGTCCTGCTGGATCCCGCTATTACGGCCACCCATTACATTGAATTACGTTAAAACTTAAAAAAAAACAAATTAGCGGTTCAGTTCAAAGACTCCGGCCCCGCGAGTCTTTGGTGAGGTGTGGCTCCTGGCTACCCGGTGGGAGGCTGGCGAGCAGGATGTCAGGCATTGCTCACTGCCTACAAGGCCCGGCGTCTCGTGGGA